ACTCTTTCCTGCTTATGCAGAGGGTCGGACTCGATGATCTATTGAGGTCCCTTCCGACCCTAACATCTATGAATCTATGAATAATGTGTACATCCTGCAACACAGGCAAGTTAACATTGTTGGAGGAACCTTATAAGGGTTTATGCAACGGACAAACAATGCTGCACTGATACCCTGTCTTTTTGATTTAGTTCACTTGTCTTGTACAACTCACCCTGTCACAGTAGTACTGACTGGAATCTTCTGAGGTGCTACCCTTTGTAACATTGTCATATGTTTCTAAAAACTGCTGATCCGCCCCGTCCAACGGATAGGAGCCTGAAGTGTTGCCAACACCATTGGGAGACTGGGTCGAGGTATTTGGTGAGGTATGGGTCAAACAGCTCTCTGATGGACTATTTCCCAATATGTTCCTTCAGTAAAAAATAAAAAACAGAAATTAAAAGGTACCGGTATTTAAAGGTTTAAATCCAACATACACTAGTACATACATAAGTGCAATGCCAAGTTGTTTTAGTATGGTTAGCCCTGGTTTATTATACAAAGATGAGCACACCACTTTTTAGTTAAAAGAGACTACTCAAAGTAGATACATCTCAGCTAGTGTACTGCACTGGAGAATCAACACTGTAAAACAGTAATGTTCTTAGGGTGGCCTCAGGTTTTTCCTATGCCTTCCACTTCTTCAATTCTCTTCAAACCTGCTCAGTGGTGCCCCTCAGAACATCCCCCTTCCAGGTACAGTGAAAACCTTTGAAAACCAGGATGTGAATTATTATCCTGCAATGCTACCTTAATCCCTTAAGCCATGCCCCAAGAGGCAGAAAAAACACATGATACAACAATTCTGCTCACAGATGCTACAGACTGCACAAGGGACAGAACACACCAATGCTGTGGAACACCTTCTCCCTTTGCTAATGCAAAACTGGGTGCAAGTCAGGCAAAAGAAATAGGAATGACCTGCATCTGGCTTAGTCTAAAATATGCCCGACAAACTACCTCAGAATTTGTAAATATTACCAACCTGTGCTCTGGAGATCGACTGTGAAGTCATAACCAAAATGCAAGACTGCTGATAATGTACACGACAAGAATAGTCCTGTGCATTGCTACTGACCTAACTTATGCAGCTAGGAAATAAAATGAGGCACACTGGATCTACTGAAGTACATTTTTATTTCTGTAGCAGTTATGCCAATCTACTCCAATTAGTTCCTCAGTCATTCAGCATAGGTACAGCATCTAATTATTGGAGGTTTGCCTTGAATTTGTTCCCCTCCCACTGCTATAGCAAGGAAAATATATCTGGGGGTCAGATAGACCTTTGGCTCTCTACTTCCCCCCCCCCCCCCCCAACTTTTTTCCCCTGGCAACCCCTTCCCTCTCTCCTTACTGTCAGACCCTGCTCTCCCTGAGCACATGGAAATGAGAAGCAAAATTGAAAACAATAACCTTGAAAATAAACATGGCTGTAACAGTTTGCATATAGTAGCCATGCACTTAAATTTATCCAGAACTGATGCATGTTACTTTTGGCACAGGTACTCCATAAACACACTTGTGAACAGCACTTTAGCACCTACATATATGTAGTATAAATTATGCATGATATTGGCCCAAATCCAAAGAACATAGTTCACTGGGCTGGTCCCACAACAATCAACAGCATTTCAAGCCATAGTGACCCCACAGCTTAGCATGTGCGTGTACTTCAGATAGCCTCTGATAAAGGATCCCTGTGCTAATTAGCCCCCACTCAGGACTAGAACCAGATGTTAAATAGGGTCATGCTGAGGAAAGCTTTGGGAAGCACCGGAGCACGAAGCAGAGGAGGGAGACCCGAAACTCAAAACAATGGATGTGGTGGCAAGTAAGCATGAGGTAGAAAAAGAGTTAGAGTGGAAGTGAAGACCTGGAGATAGATGGAGAGCAGACAAAGGTGGAGAACAAAAGAAGAAAGAAGGTGACAGTGGGAGCAATGCCAGAGGCAGCAACAATGATAGTGACAATACCAGATGGAAGACAGGAGCAGAGGAGAGCAGGAAACAGGGTGGGAGAGGCAGAAGTTATGTTGGGTGAGAAGCAGAGGATGGCGGAAGCACAACAGCAGGCTGGTCCCCTGGGAGTGGTATGGTGGGCAAACATGGAAGAGGCACCAAGAGAAGCTAGAGAGGGTAAAGGCAACTTTAACCAGTGATGGGAGGCAGACAGGATTGACAATGAACAGATATGATTTTCCTGGAAAAGGTACTGTTTGAGATCTTAGAAGTACAGGCCGAGCAACTCCTCAGCCTTATTACTTTCCCCAACTGAAAGACTTGGGAATTGACTTACTGAGATGGAGAAGGGTGAATTTTTAGAGGAACTATGCAGAAAAATGTAGGACTACATTACTATAAGCAGAAGACATAGAAAAATGGTGGGAAAAGTATGTCCAAAGGGAAATGTCAGTAAAGAAAGTATGGGACAAATATGGTATTTGGACAGGGTCTTGGAGGGCAGGAGTATTGTTACAAGCAGGCAAGTGGAGCCCAGGTGGGATGCTGCACCTCCCATCAGTGATACAGACTGGGGCACACAGGGGTTTTATACTGTAGTACAGACAACCATAATGGCACAGCAAATGCCCTCACGGTGTGCTACAGATGAGGATGAGGCATAGAGCAGCAGAGTGCCAGGAGTCCCTATAATGCACTATTTGTAAGGGAGAGGGACACTTGTATTGTAGGTGCCCCAAAGCCTTTGCAAGTATAATCAGATCTCCCAAAGAACGGCAAAATCCAGAGGGGGAGAGTGGACGAGAAGGGCATGGACACTGAGGTAGAAACGGTGGTAGAAACCCCATGGGAGATTGAAATAAAGAAGGAGGGGGGCAAAAATCTCTGTGACTGGGTCAGCACAGGACAAAATAGGAGATAGAATGGAAAGGAAAGCAGGAACAGCATACAGCTCAGACATGGAGGCAGGGCTGGGGAAGAAAGGCAACAGAAGTGGAGACAGAGCAATAGAAAGAACCAAAGGGAGGCTGCTCCTATGCACTGGAATTCCAGCGCATTTGAGCAGCAGCATGGCAATTACTGCGCTCCGGCAGCCTCCCGCATCTTGTGTATCAGTGTCCCTGCACTTCAAAACGGCAGTGGGGGTGCTTTATCTAAAGCTCCTTCAGCAAGTTTTAGAAAAAGCACCCCTGCTGCCAATTTGAAGTGCAGGGATGGTGATACATGACATGGTCTGAGCACTCAGAGAGCTGTTCTAATTAAAGCTCCCTTCCTGGACACTGGATCTGCGCTAATTAAAGCCCTCTCCCTCCAGCATGTGTATAAATGACAAGAGATACAGACCAGGAAAAGAAAGAAAACAGAGGGGCTAAAGACCAGGAAGAAACCACCTGATAATGAGGGAGGTGAGTCAGAGGCAGAGTGGGAGAGCAGTTTCATGACACTAACACCTCTGGGCTCCAATCCGGGGTAGAGACCAGAAGGCAGGAAGTGGTGGGGAAGCAGGAATATGCAAGCCTTCCTAAGTTTGAAAGTAATAGAGGAACTTAGAAAGGCTACAGAAATGTGAGCGAGGGAGGGGAAGGAGTCTGCCACTCCGAGTAGTAGCACACTCAGCTCAAAGCAAGCACAGACTAAACTTAAAAGGAACAGGTTCACTCATTTTAAAACAAGCATAAATGGCACTGACAATAGTTTCACTTAACATCAGGGGCACTTTAACAAGGAAAGGCTGGGAACAGATTGAACCAGTGTTGAACCAAGCAAGGGCAGACAATCTGCCTAAAAGAGTGTGGTACACTAGGGGAGAGGGATTATAAACACTTCGAAAAAAGGTGGAGATGGGGACCATCTTGACAATCAGGGACAAGTGAGAACAAAGCAGCAGGGGCAGCAATGTTATTCAAGAACTAGAGCTGAGAGCAAAGTAGGTAGAACAGGGGTGGGCAAAATGTGGCACCACCAGGCCATTCTATCTGGCCTGTGGGGCCCCTAAAAAATTTAGAAAATTAATATTTATCTGCCCCTGGCTGCCTGTCATGCAGCCCTTGATGGCTTGCCAAAACTCAGTAAGCGGCCCTCTGCCCAAAATAATTGCCCGCCCCTGAGGTAGAAGTCATCAGTGGCAGATAGCAACAAACAATACTATCAGTCAGAGGAACAGAATTAGAACTTTTCAATATATATGCACCAGAGAGAGAGGGAAGGATAGCACTACTTAGAAAGCTAGTGGTTTATGTGGTCAGAGGGAGAGCACAGATAATAGCAGGAGATTTCAACTGTCTAATCAAAGTGGGTGACAGAACAGGGGAAGAAGGAAACAGTGCTTCAGACAGCTCATCCTGACTGTTAATACAAGTAATAAAAGAAGAGTCAGTAAGAGATGTGTGGGCAGCAGAGAAGGTTTTCACTAAAACATACCCCAGTGAAAAGAAACACTCAAGAACTGACTTTGTCTTTCTATCAAAAGCAATAAGGATAAGGAAGAAAGAAACCATACATGTGGCTTTTAGTGATTATTGGATGCTGAAGGTAGAAATGAGTTTTGGAAAAAGCCACATGAGAAGGAAGGGACTGTAGAAGTTAAATGTGTGGCTGTTACAAGACAAAGAGATGTCAAGCGTACATCAGACAGTATGAGGGGTGGTGAAAACTGAAGAAATATTTCAGGACTACCAGAAAATGGTGGATGAAGGTGAAGAAGAGGACAGGAGAATTATTCAGGAAGGAAAGCTGAAGATGTGCAGGGAAAAGAACAAAAGCGTTAAAAGAGCTGCAAAGAAAGATGCAGGAGCTGTTAAAGGAAGCCACAGAAGGAAGACAGGTATAAGAAGAGCTAGAAGAAACAAAGCAAGAGTTAGTAACCTGGTTTAAAAGAAAGGCAAAAAAAAAAAAAAGAAAACATTCTTTGTAGAAGCACCCTGTGTGGGAGAAAACAACAAGTGGTCCTGTTACTTTTTGGTCAGAACAAAAGCAGCAAAAGGAGAGCTTAAAGCAGTGCAGGAAGGTGGTGGTGCCTGGAAGGAAAAGCAGGAGGTGTTGGAGGTGACTAGAAGATTTTGTGATGAGCTATACCAGAAGAAGGAAACAGATGGGAAAAAACATGAAGGATTTCTTGGAAGAGACTGAAAAGAAATTAGAAGAAAGTACAGGAGGAGGAAGCAAAGATGGAAGAAAAGATAAGCTTAAGGAAGCGGAGGAGTGTTTAAAACCTTTAAAAGCAGAAAATCACCAGGAGCAGATGCACTACCTATAGAATTTTACCAAAAGTTTTGGGCATGGGTAGGAAGGAAATGTTCAAAGAAATAGCAGAAGCAAGAAAGGCAGGGGAAGATTTTACAAAAGGCATTGTGATTTTCTCTTCAAGAAAGGGGAGAAGGAACTCCTGAAAAACCAGAGACCGACTGCACTCC